AAAATGGCTAGATCATTATTGTGCTATGCACATTTTCGTTTCAATTTCATGTCAAACATCATTTTAAAGCATCACAGATATTTTTTATTCGTTACAATGAAAATTGAAATATAAAAATTCAAGGGTCGTAGCGAAAATTAAGGTAAAGAATGAAAAAATTTACGACACGTTATCGTCGTCTTAACACTCTTTTCGTTATTATTTAACAAATTTCGCGAATTAAGCTATCCACGCTGTTTTTACTCTCTATTACAAGAATCGTTTCATCCTCTCTCCTCGCATTACCTATTCGTCTTATGTCGTATTTCTTATTTAAATACCCTATCTTATATTAGTACCAATAGTAGAATTAAAAACTTATGACAGTGCCTTATAATAACCTACGAAAAGATAAATTCTAATAATAAAAGATACAAAATCGTATTACGACAACGAAAGTTTAAAGCGACAGCGAAACAAATTATTTTATATTCATTAAGTCTCTAAATGTTAAAGAAAAAAAGGGACAGGAAACGATTATTTATATCTTTAGAAAGGACAAAGAATAAATTCTTCTCTCACATAATTGTTATTCAATATTATATTACTGCAAACTTTATCTTTAAATATTATCGAACGACGAAGTTTTGAAACCGCAGAATCTCGATTTCAGATTAAAATCACCGTAGATCGAATAAACGTAACGAAGATATATAGATGTTCTGTTCCTGTTGAATTACCCTGTACATGTATACGTGCATAATGCACACGTATTGCCGCGTATTGTATTCATACAGTGTACGAACGGGATACAAGGCCTCGTACGTGTTGGTACAAGCGCATGGTGTACGGTTTGATGCATGCGAATGCGTATCCGGATCATGGGTAAATTAGTGCGAGAATTAGTGTGAGAATTAGTGCGGTACGCGCACCGACGTATACGCGTAGAGAGATACGAACGGAGAGAGACAAGGAAAAAGATAGAGAGAGAGAGAGAGAGAGATCGGCTGGGTCGTTGCATAACGTTAACCCCGCGTGTCGTGACTTGTAAATGCGGTGTAAAGACTGACGTGAATATACGCACTAATGGAGGCGTTGCGGGAGTTCGTAATGGCCGCGTGGTGCGGTGCGGCGAGCGGGTTAATGAATTAAAGAAGATAAGGGACGCGTGTTTCCGCGAGCAACGCCGCGCATAAATCCACCGGGAACGATTCAGTTCGAGATGTCCTCCAGGTGGAAGGTGGACGAACCCCTTTCGAATCGAATCGATCGCCTCTCTCGTCGGCGAAATTCATGGATATCGCTTTGGACACACCTTTAACTTCGAACTGCCTGGTTGGTATCTAGGGATACATATACTAATTTCGTAACATTATAACGACCCGCCTATATTTTATATTCAAGTATATTATACATAGACGATTATTCGCTTATGGTTTCTGTTCGTTTATTGCATTTTTACTAGCTTAGGAGACGTCATCCGTGTAAGATTTCTCTTACAGCTTAGAATTGATTGGCTGGTGTGAGGTCGGTACACCAGGCAGTAAGTATAATAGTATGACAAAAATTATGACGATGATAAAATATGTACTGGTTCAAGAAAGTATTCGTAGTTAGCCATTTGAAACCAATTTGGAAATGTATATGAAGATTAAAAAGTATTTATTGCAAATATAAGTTTGGTACAAAGATAAATACACAATAGCTGTGTTAAGTATATATTAATAAGCGTTAAATATGGTCCCACTGAATATTGAGGATTATGAATTTTAATGGATAGTTGACTGCTTAGATACTTTTACAATTTCTATATTTTCTGATCGGTTTCAAATTTTACCAATATGGTTATGATAGTTGCATCGCATAATGAAATTTTTAAATGTTTCGTGTAATACACATTACGTATCCATAAAAGGTGTTCGAATATTTTCGTCGTATTTAGAGTTAAATTAAGAAGCTAATATATATGTATTGATGTTTCCTATATAATAAAACTACTTTTGATTTTTTTTTATTATGTAATTTGACTTTTATCTGGAGGAAACAATTAAAGTTCTTGACCAGGGAGGAAGAGTTAACTCGCCATCTAGCTCGATATCGATAAATCCCATTAATGGTTTATTCACTGTTACTCTGTACTCTATGCATCATTACTATCTATTAGAGATAGATTATATTGCATGTAAATTTGCAAGAATAATAATTGATTGGAGTAAAATTAATTCACCGTATACCGATTGTTAATCTAAATGATCTGATTAATTCGTAATAATGTAGTGCGTCACGGGGCTGTACATTCAGAGGATAAATTAATGTTAGATAATCATATGGCTATCCAAATGAGTAAATAGCTGTTTCATTAGATTTCGGTAGAATTAACTAAGCCTAAACGATATAACAAGAAATAAAAGACCGAGAATAAAAAGATATCGAAAATTAAAATTGAAAATACAGATATCACTTTTATGGCACCTTCAACAGCCTACAACCAATACGCATAAAAGTCTAGGAGTATAATAGATACGGAAGTACAGTACTAGAAGTATAATAAATACAAAACTGGAGAAAAGGAAACAATAAGGAAGGAGAACAATAAGACTATTATATAAAACAAGTGCGTAATTTCTCGACTTAAAAACCCAACTAAAAACCAATTAATTATAATAGCACTTGACTTTTCATCAACATATATAACAGGATTCAACCAGGTGTTAATAGTATCCAGTAATAGATGAGACCATAACATGATACTATAATTAAGAGACATAAAATCCCATAAATCCAAAAGAAAGACCAAATCTTCCATAAGTAACTAAGTAATTTAAATTTTAATTAGTAAAAATATTAGATTTTTGCATATCTTGATAATTCCACTTTCGACTTTTTCCCATATTTTTACATCATGCTCTATTAAGCAACCGACAAATCTTACCATTTAATAAGATCCTTGGCACACAAGAACAGGTTTCAATAGCTTGGCATATTGTCATATTTTCTCATACACTGATAAGTATGCATGAACGATATCTTAATATTCGACGTGCGCCATGATTTCGTTAAGCGCAAATTTTTCTACAGCTTGCAATATCGTCCCTCTTATTCTGATAATTTAATCGCATGATTTCTATTAGCCGCGATATTAATTCTCGATAAAATCACTACGATTCTAATAAATCATCCGTACTCGATACTCGCAGCTAAGATTATGTAGCCGGCTGTCTTAACATATTTAATAGCCCACTTGTTTAATATGTAAAGCAACGCGAAAATATATGGAACGAGGCCAAAATGAAAGGAAAAACGTTGCACGCCGTGCGGGGGAGTGACCATAATACGATACTCGCTATGCTGGATATGCAGATGGATGCATCCACTATCACACGCGTATACGCGTACGCATACTAACTCGTACCTGCGTGTCATGCATAAATGATATATGCATACCATTGTGAATAAGTCTAGCCGCTACAACCACCAAACGAAGATGTTCAATCCGTCTGACAACATCCCTCTTTATACGTTTCTGGCCCTCTGTTTCGCGTCATTCTTTACGCGTGCACGAGTTATACCGAGCTGTTTTTGCGCGTCTGTCTGTGTACATGTAATTAATAATTTATGTTGCGGAGTATCATTTCGGTCTCCGGGGGATGGGCGAGTATTAATTTCGCCGTGTAACCACGTGAATGTCTAAACTGCTTAAATGAAGTCCGTTATTAATCGGTCTCGTGAATTATTCCCAGGTTTATTAGGAAATGTTGCAGAAACGAATCGAATAGTTTCGGGTATTTACGACGAGAGAACGAATTCATGAATTTTATGGTAACGAGTATCGTGTGCTTTCGGAGCGAACTCTAAGCGTTTCGTGTGTAAGTTTTAATAATAAATAGTTATGGACCATTTTACATTCGTGATAAATTATGGGACATAAAGGAACGAATATCGTCTATCGAACAAAGTTTGGAATCATTAAGCACATGTTCTATAGAGTTAACAAATTTCAGGGACATATCGAGTCACGATTAAAATTGATATAGGCGAAGGAGATTTCAAACTTTTAGTCGATAACGTAGGCTAACGTATTATCTGTAGAAGAGTTTCAGATAAAAAATGAAAATGAACGTATATTCATCGTCGGTGAAAAATGTAGAATCGTTAGACACGTGTTTCATAGAATTCAAGAATTTTGGAAAGAGGCAGCTTGAAATTCTAACATCTCTCGATAATTCCTTGATACATTAACAAAGAGATAAAATAAAAGAGAGATGAAATACTGGTACACTTATCTCTTAAAGTATAAACTATTTTAATGCTAGTTGGAAATATACGAGATTACTGTATTTAGATGCCACTTATTTTCCGTGAGAATAAATAAAAGTCAAATGTTATACATAGTACCTCATGCGGAAATACTCTGTCTATTGATGGTACAGTTAGATTCGAACGTAAAATGATAACGTACGAACGCCTGAGCATTTAGGTCAATAAATGGTTTCGTATAACTGTTCGCTAATTGTTGAATTAAACGTGTATAACTAGTGATGAAAATATTTTCGGAACGAGCACCTATTACCTGATGCACGCAGTAAGGCGCCGTTCCACTAAATTCTGCCAACGAAACCGTGGAAAATCATTCTGAATCAATGCGCGGCTCCTTTGCGCAAGATACTAATTGCTTCTCTGCATTTCAGTCACTTAACTGTGCCTTATGTAATTTCAAGCGAACCACTCCAGTTTACTGGGTGAACAGAAATTGAATAAACACTGTACAGTTAGAACTCGATTGAGCAAAAGAGTACCGGTTATGTAAATAAAAGATAATGGAAATAAGAATACTTCTCTACTAAATGATAGATCTAACATATAAAAGATTCATTTTGTAATTTACATTATGTATTATATTTCATTATGATGCGAGATAAATGACGTGTGACCAAATGAATAAACATCACGGCGTACCTTAATTAAGCGATTAAACATTACGTATAATGATTATGTGTATAAATATTTCAAAAGAAACATACACGAAGGCATTTACATTCTGTAGCATGGAACATAAAGTCCATTTCCATTACACAAGTCCCGTCGAATCGGAAGAATCCAGTTTAATTACATTCTGTAGTCTTACCTGAAACCAAATAAAAAAGATTGTCGTTAGATCATTTACAATTTGATTAAAAATACGATACACAATTCGATGTATAGGATAAATGGGATATTAAAAAGTACGAGGTGGATTAATTAAACAGATTAATTCCTTAAATGTCCTGCAAATTAATCGTTGCATTACTCGCAATTGGTGAATTATCTAATTGAAAATAGGATATACGATACACAATAAAGAATTTAATCGAAACAAATTTCCTCCTCACATTTCCTACGCTAATATGAATGACGCTACTACTTAAGTTATTTTAAACACATCTGCATACGCAACATCAAATCTACGAGACAGCTTCCCTACAATCTACATCCTGTCCCAGTTCTCGGTAAAGTTCCACAATCGCACGTTTAAACTCATACTTCGCAAAGCACCCCTTTCATAAACACAATTACACAGCCCACGTCTCTCTGAAACGAGGCTTCCGAAAATACTCAATTATACATTCCAAACCATATTTCTCACGATCCGCCCTCTCAAAAATTCACAATTACGCAGGCAAAGCCGTATTACACAGAATTCAGCCAACCACGATGCACGTAGGCTAAGCCACCCCGTACATTACATCGTACCGTTCGCATACATGGCCCCGGTATGTACACACGTATCGCAACGCTGTCTTGTCGTTACAAGCAGCGGATGGCGAGTTAGACGAGGTTAGAGCACGTGCGATGTTATAGTACAAGTGTACACCCCCGTTCATAAGTACATATTAACAGACATCCTGACTTGATACAAGGTATTATAATTAGAATGTTCGTAACAATGATAATCGTTCACCACGTTTTCTTAGAATGTTCAATATCCGTTTAATACGTTTCATTCTCCTTAAACAAGATATTTATACAATTGTTGTGAGTTTACCAGTAATAATATCGCAAAAGAACTGTATCGAATTAAATTACGAAGTTGCGTCATAATAAAGGAGAAACGATTAATTTTAAATCGAATATGTCTAGATATTTTTGATAATATATGTTTAATTTATTAGGTCATCCCGTAAGCAACCTGGTACTTGTAACAGCTACGTTTAAAACAAAGAGAATTGTTACCATTCGAGTGCCATAAAACTGGCATAGAAAACTTAATAAAAAGATACACAAAATTAGAAAAATGAACATTACATTGCACGAGCCATTCAGAACTTACACTGATCAACTTCTTTTTTTTTTTTCTTTCTTTAATTTACCTTACAATCTAATTATACCATCTTGCTGCAATAAACGAACCGATGCTATACGATGTAACCCGATAGATAAGTCGCTTGCTCCACGACAATCGAATACTAATCGTGTACTTATGCAATGAATTTAAGAACTGAACAAGCAGTAGAATTGACCGAGTTGATTTCTAAGAGTCTCGTGTTAGAACGATGCCATAGTACATATGCACCCTGCGCGTTGTTGTATCTGTACATTTTCCATAAATGCATAAAACTGCGCATAATATCGACTAATAATATTTAAAGCTGATCATATACAGCAAGTATGATAATACTTATGAACGGGGGTGTACGCAGGGCCACATAGAGATACGCGCAAGCGTAATTACACGTACATGAACGTAGGGGAGAAGGCAAGTCACGGTCGCACCTGCTCCTTACGCTGACATCGGCCATCCCCATTCGAGGACGCAACCGGTCAACGAGGCGAACAGACGGACGGTACATCGGTTATTGTCCTGTCCCCGTTCAGGACAGGCATTGCCCTATTGACTTCGTTAACACTCGATATCTATCGAAAGGTGTTTCCTGTGCAGGCTCGATCACTGTCACGGGCCCCGTTCGTATCCTCATGCCCGGCTGTCATCGTTAAGTCGAACGAGCAAAGGTTAATAGCGTTTAAATTAGAGTTCCACGATAACGACGACATTGTCGGCGGGACGTCTAGCAATTTATCGGCCACGCTCGTTTACGATCGCGCCAACCATGGTAATATATCGATCGTGCGGATTCTTGCCTAGTTAAGGTGTGCGAGAATATGAGAGGAATAAAATTTTGGCGCGAAAAGGTTGGAGAAGAAGTTTTGATACAATGAAAGTGATTGCTAGGCGAGAAGTTGTTCCGGGGTGACGGGTTAATGGATACTTTAACGACTTTAGATCCTTTTGTGGAGGTTTTGGAAAAGTTTACGACGAACGGATAGGATACTTCATTCGTGTAATGATTGTTTTATCTTCTTTATTATGTAAGAAGTATGTATGAAGCATGTTATTTTAACGCAAAGAATTATGAAACAAACGACTGGTACTTAATTAAGTACCAAGAATATACGGATATTTTTAGTAAATATTTATGTTCGCCTTTATCGAGATTGAAATATAATTATATATAGTTATCTGTTTTTATCATATAACAGTTTAATTATAATTATGAATGCAGGATACGTAATGTTCTTATTTTTCAATGAAGCGTTGTTCTATCAGGTTCTAGCATTTTATTTTCGTAGTATCAAATTTTTTTTGTATGGAAGTAAATTTAATATACTTTCACCTAATTAACTAATACGTAAACAACAGATATAGTAAATACGATGATATATTTTCACTATATATTTTCTATCTATAAAGACAGAAAACGATGAAAGACGAGTGTTCAAATGATAAACGATATAAACGTCCAAATGAAATGTTCTCTATTTGAATCGAAAATCTTCGCCTCTGGCACCTACGTTATTTATTATTCCAACTTCTGAATAATTTCAAACGAATTACAGTACCACTAACAAAATATTAAAAGTTCCTTCGATTTCGACAAAACCACCGAAACGCACCGACGTATCAAAACTCAACCATTCAACTATGCCAAACAAATTACAATACAACCTTACCACATTGAAAATACCTCGGACTGCAGCCAAGCCGAAATAATCGCGTACCGACCCGACGTATCAAAATTCAAAATTGAACATCCAAGTAACGCGTCCCTTTGACAACAATTTATAATTCCCGGCTGGACATCGGAATGGTATTACCGATAATCCATTCGGTTCGTGAGTACCATTGTAAATCCCGACGCATGATTCGCGCGCGAGATGGCGGCGACATTAGTGGCGCGTAACCACCAGATGGAAATTTATAATAGGGAAACGAGACAGAATTAATTGAATGGAATCGTCATCAATATCATTGGCTCGTGTTTGGCGAAGGACGTACCAAACGACGTTAATGAATATCGTCGCCGGACAAACTGTTCCTTCTTTGTCGTCGAGACGCGAACGGGACGGAAAACAAATTGGTTCGGCAGTCGTAAAGTGTCGTTTCCACGATGCAGAAATAGAGGGGTGCGAATGAACGTAGCGGCGAAACTGCGTTGCAGATTTATGCGAGGTTGTAAATGCGAGCGCCAGAGAACGGGTTGCGAACGATCGACATAGGCGTACCTGTGCCGTCTTCGTCTTCTTATTGGAAATGCGACAGGATAGGAGGAACGATGCCGGTGCACCGTGTTATTTGAGCACACCGATCCTCGCCTTAATTCACCATTTAATCGATAGCATGGCCACTTGTACGCTGTACTTTTAATGACGCTATTAGAAAATTGTTCCGTTCTTTTTTCCTTCTCCTTTTCCCTTTTGTTCTTTTGGTGCTTCGATTTATCTTTTTGGTCCTTGAATTCATACGTAATTTTCGTATAACACGGCAGAGGTAGGTTGATTTCTTTGAAATATCGCGCAGCTTACAAACGAAAAAAAGAATTGCGTTACAAATTGGTACGATAATGTACGGATTTACGTTTATTATCAGAGGAGGCATTGTATTCACCAAAAATAGCAATAGGTAGATATCATATCCTCTGCTCTCCTCTCTCTCTCCCTCTCTCTGGTCGATTTAAAATATTTATGGGTCACGTGTGGTGAATTTAAACTTCTGTCGATCGTGCATAACGCAGCGTAATTATAAATGTCAGTGATTTTTGTGCGCTCTGCTATGGCGTTGGGCAAATTTAATAGCGGACAAAACGAGTACTGCATTTTATATCGCCTTTTGTATGTTTTTTACGGAGTAATAAAAACGTTTTATGTATTATTAGGCACCATAGACGTCACATAATGTGTAGGTCCTCGTTTAATATTCTTTGACTTTCTCAACCGTATTATCACAGAATTATACTGTGGAGAAAATTATGTTATACGAAGGTTGACATTATTGTTATTGTATACATAAATTATGTCTGTAGCAAAAAAATAGATATTCCATTGAATAATTAATTACTTCACGCATATTTATCGTAAGATAATTATCATAAACAAATTATCGTCATCATTTTTGTGCAGGAGGTATATTAGATCTTTTGAAAATAATAAACAAAAGGTTAAAAAGTGTGAAATAGTACAGTATAAATAATCTGTACCATTAAGATACACACGCGTCTCTCTTGTGCATACAAAAAATACATAAAAGTTTCAATCAAAATCCTCCTTATCGTATAATATATTTCAAATATGAATACATTGTACAAAGTAAAAATGATACTTCGGATGGCTTTTACGATAACAGCAGCAATTTTTGTTCATAACTTACCGATTGCTGATAGCTATTGCTGCTCATTTTTACAGAGATTTGCATCTGGTTTAATCGTTTCTACGTGGGTCGAACCAGAACATATTTCATCGAACACCGAACTGTATAGCTATCGAAGGAAATATGTACAATCAAGTCGCAACCTTAATAAAGAACGCTCGAAAGGACATAAACCGAGCGTAATATTTTAGGTGTACTGTACTTCATACCCTTTAATTACGTGCAAACTAACAATTTTATGACTAACAATTTATTGTTATACATCGGCTGAACCGCGGTTGAAATACAAAATGTAAAAGGGGGCGAGGTTCCACAGTAATCATGTTCCAGAAGATGTAACTTCGAATTAAACAAGTTCTGCAATGAGATCATACGTTACAAGCACTCTTTAATGCAACCAAAGTACCAGTGTCGATGAATAAGTTTTATAGAATCATGGAAATGGT